TCAAAACCCTATAATATTAACAAACGATTTGCAAAAACTTGAATACAATCGATTGAATGGCAGAAAACCAAACTTCTTACCTGTTTTTCTGCAATCGTAACTTCAAATCAAAATCTGAGTTGTAATGGACCAAAATACTCGCAAAGTATGATTAATTTCTTCTAAGAACTCGAAAATCCATCTCTAATTGAACAAATTAGATCAAATTGAATACATTTTATGATAAATAACACTATAAGGAATCAAAACCCTATAATATTAACAAATTTTTTGCAAAAACTTGAATATAATCGATTGAATGGCAGAAAACCAAACTCCTTACCTGTTTTTCTGCAACCGTGGCTTCAAATCCAAATCTAAGTTGTAATGGACCAAAATACTCATAAAGTATGATTAATTTCTTCTAAATAACACTCTTAAGATCAATAACCCTCGGATTTTACAAAAAATGATGCTCTATTTTGCTTGAAATCAGAGAAATGGCAGAAACCTAAAACAACGTGTTGTTCTTCACAAATCCGCCGATTTGTGATCGATTTGTGATCAAAATTGAAGATTTCAACTCCAATTTATCGAATGATAAGGCTGAAAAGCTAAATCAAAAAGCTGAAATATTCGATTCACATGCTGAAAACACACAACAATTATCATGAAAAGGCCAAAATTTGATGATTCCCATCACAAAACACTGTTCACCGGTGTTTGAACAGTGACTCAAGCGATTTGCTGTTGGGAATCGCCCCGGTTCTCTCTAGACACGGGCGATTCCTTGTGTTTCGCTGGAACCAGTACGGGTAGTGCCGATTCCTGAGTCGAACTGGGCAAGTCCAGTTCGACTCGCCGACTTTTTGAACACTGATTAGAACTATTAGAGGCTTGTAGGTGCCATGTTATCATGTCCTAGATAAGTTAAATCATTGTAGATTTTAGTGCAGTATTAGGTGTGTCATATGATCACCCTTGATTCTAGTCTTTTAGCCCAAGTGCTGTGCTGATATGAGTGCTAGGGGTGCCCAGACTGCCTCCTATGAAGTGTGAGTTTTTTGATATGGTCCGACTCATCACTTACAAAACTTTTAGCAAGTTCCAAGAGCAACGAGTTTGAAAACAGCAGTGGACTGAAGGTAAGATATTGATCTGCATGCGGCTATTGAGTGATTGTGGATTGTAAGTCGAGTGCAGCTCTTGTATCATGATGAAATTATGGGATGGAGCAGCTGCCAAGTGATGGTCGCCTGCAAGTTGGGAGCAGTTGTGAAGTGATGAGTGGTGTCAAAGTGATATGGGTTATTGAGTTAGAAGATGGTATCAATTGGCATAGCTGCTGAATATCCTAGCTTGCAAGTTTGGGGCGGTTTCATAGTGGTGCTTGGCTTCTGTATAATGTAAGCTGCATTCCGAGAGAAGCTGACAAGAGTAGCCAGTGCGAAATACGATGACTCGGTAGGAGTTGCCAAGAGATGACTTCTTTCAAGTGATAAATTTACTTAAGTCTGGGAATAATGGGTGGAAGAACTTTGTTTCCCTGAGGTTTAGGGTTTCCCATTTCGAGCTCACCCTTGTAGTTAGATTATATGTAAAAAGTCAAGGTGCTCAACTGTTCTGTTCGATATTTATTGAAAATTGTGGAGTTCCCTTTCTCCTATGTTTGCCTCAAAAAAAAAAAAAAACCTTTCATGCCAGAAAATTCATAAGACGATGGCAAATAAATGATTGATTTACCGAAAAGGTTTAAGTCCTCTATTTTTTAAAAGTGATATGAAACCATCCATGCCAGAAAGGTTTCCCACCAGTTAAATTGCTATCAACCTTACATAGATCGTCATTGTTTTTTCTTTTTTTTTTTAGAATGTTCTCTTGTACTAAGTATATCAAAATTACAAAAATTGGCACCCCCTCTACAGGGGTGCCTAAAATATCGGGGCCCAAAAAATTCTTTACAAGAGGGAAGAAAAATACAGCAACTGAATACAAAAGAAGAGGGGATTGGCTTCCCTCCCTGGCTAAGACATCAGCTGCAGTATTGGCTTCCCTAAAGATGTGATTCCACGACACTGAAGGTTCCTGGAAATGTGTGCTATCTCTTAAAAAATGTGATCGTCTCCAAAGGCAAGAGGGAGGATTGGATGCCCAAGCTATAACGTTCCGTGAATCCCCTTCCACGCAAAGCACAGAACTCCAGGAGGGGTCAAACTTGTGAAGGCCCTCTAGTAGGGCCAGGGCCTCAGCAAGAGTTGACTCAGCTGTATCAATCGAACGGGAGAAGGTTAAGAGTGTGCTGCCATCGTGGGATCTGAACAAGCCCCATATACCAGAGGGTCCAGGGTTGCCAAGGGAACAACCGTCAAAATTTAACTTGATGCTTCCCTCCGGTGGCGGTCTTCAGAGAGAGGCCCGAGAGATCCTCAGGGTTGATAAAGATAACAAGGAGTGCCAATTGCTGAAGAGGTCGCAGTATGCAAAGTCTTTGAAGAGCTTGTGATTTTTGGCCCAAAAGGAGACCAACCTTCAAATCTTTTCGATCATAGAGGCAACGGAGGGCCTATCGCTCCCTGAATGTTTTATTGTTTCTTTTGGTCCATGTGACCCAAACTGTGGCAGCAACAGATGCCCTCCACAGAATGCGACCGGCTTTAGGCCAAGGCGGGGAGAGGAAGGCCTCGAATAGGGGAGGAATAGACTGAGGACTACCTCACATAGATCATCCTTGTTCAACTAGGGTCACAACAAAAATAAACTGCTGAACTAGTACCAACGTTCCACCCACTTTCTGTGCTCGTCTCGGTACTTCTTCATAGCCTAATGAAGTACATGGATTTTTATAAATCCACATAGGAATTTCTTTGAATCTCTCTCATAATCCTACTTGTTAACGAGTTATGGTAATAAAGTGATGGTCATCCCAGCTTTTGTTAAAGGAGAAATGTTTGAACCTTTATGTTACCTTATACTTTAGTTAGGATTGCAACTGACATTCCAGTAATAAGTCAATTGTCCAAGGAATAATTTTCATATCAACTTGGATACTATGTTTGGTTCCACTGTAGTGATCTGATGAAAGATGGACCAGCTGTGACCATGCAGGAAATGATGAACAGAATTTCGAAGTCTGAATGGAGAGCAGGGTTTTGGTTAGCGGTAAAAACTTGATTTTCCGACTAATTAACAGCAGGCCAAGATATGGGGAGTCTATGTCTTTCGTGGTTTGAGACAATTTAAAAAAGGTGCAGGGCTCTTCAACAAGCTAATCTAAGCTCTGGATGAGCAAGAGTTTTGTCCAAACATTCATGAAGTCACATGAGGACGAGCTAATAATCTGAATGTAACAAAGGCTGTCTAATTATCACTTAAAATCGAAACTGATACAAGACCAGAGCCCTCAATTGTCATGTGGCTGTTTCATCTAGCACGAAAAAACGTAAAAATATTTTTCCTAGGTTCCCATTTGTCCCATTTATGTCATAATTTGGCTCAGCAGTTCTTTTTTAAGAAGGGGGGAGTAAAGAACAGGCATGTACACCAAAACTTGGATGTCCACTTACTGGGAGCTCTATAAAAAACCACCAAGGAGTGTGAGACTAGAACAGAAAACTGGTTATACAGTTGCGGGGAAAAGGGTTCAAGGACTCGGTCTACAAAAATTTTTCAGTCACTCGAGTTAGAAGCACTGACTTTTGTGAGCGAATCAGCTTCTGAGTTACCTTCCCTCCATATGTCGTTCCAAGATACATTCAAGCTCGTACTTAAGTGGGAGATTTCGTCGAAGATATGAGCGAGGGACCAAGGACAGGTCGCGGCACCAGAGGCCCAGGATATCATGTTGTTTGAATTGCCTTCGACAGTCGAGGATGGGCTCCTAGAATGGTCGAACAGTTGACTCAAAAGTCCAGTTAGAAACATATATTCTTCCAATCCTTAGAATCGTCCAAGTCTTGCAAAACGTTTTTCGCTCTCAAAACTGTTTTTTCATTTTCACACTCTAGCTTCAGTATGGCAGGATCATCTCCTAATGCTGAATTCAGTGAAATTCTGTGTTAACCAACATGACTTAGTATTGTAGATGGTTTCCGTGCCTCTGCACAGATAGTGTTTCGCTTTAGACCAGACCCATCTGTTGAGACTGTAACAGAAGCTTTAGGGTCCTTGGGTCTTCATCCTCAGTGGAGTTTCAAAGGTACAAACTCCTGATTTTTCTCATTGTTCTTCGACAACTATTTTTTGAGTGGATATGGAAGGTAATTTCTTCACACAACTTAGACAACAGTGTCAGATAAATCTTTGTGTGCCTGTTGATGTCACATTAGAAGAGTAGATTAGAATCATACAGTATAGTGAACAGAAGTGACCCTCATTTTAGTCTGTCTATCTATGGATCCGTGGTCCAATTGCATGCTGGGTGTCCATTTTGGAAACGCAGAGATGATGATATAGTATATACTATACGGGCTTTCACACATGTTGAAGCTTGTCTACCTAAAGAGCACCCTTTTAGTAATCTGAGATTGTTCCCAATATCTTTTTATTCCTGATGTTTAGAAAAACCGGAAAAGAAAAGAAGAAAAAGAAATGAAAAAGAATCTCTTTTTCCCAAGTAATGTTCAACTTAGGCTTAACAAACAATTTCAGTTTCTAATTCATAGTCAATAGTATGCAATGGTAAACTGGCAATAATTGAAGACATTGAGTGGGTGTGGAAGGGGATATTTCCTTGCATTCTTAAAGAAGGGTTAAGGCGGAGGCATAATGCGTGAGCTTAATACTGCTTACGTATCTTTCTATGGTAAAAAGTTTCTCTTGTGAGATACTGCATCAATGCTTATACTATCTTGGCTTTGTAGCTGCTTAAATAACTTATCATTTTGGCTCTGTGATGGTGACTGAGATATCTAATCCAAGTTCCAGTTAGGCGAACTCTATAGCTGCAAGTATATAGCTTTAAAATTCCATTGTGTAACATCGCAAACTTACAAGTGATCCGAACTTTGAATGGATACATACAGGTAAGGTCTGTGATGCTTTTGAGGTAGCTGGGAAGAACGTCTTATCAACTTCTTCAGTTGTGACAACAGGACTCGTTTCTCATAGGTAGAGTATCCTTCCACGTCCTCAACCATAGAGAATCAATCTCTCTCTCTCTCTGTGAATCATAGTGTTGGGGTATGCAGGTATGGCGAAGAAGCTGGGCAAATCACGCATGAAGGACTCAATGCAGCCGGGCATGCACTTGGCACTGCATGGGCTGTGTTCAAGGTAAGGCAAGCTCTCAACCCCAAGAGCGCAATAAAGAAGACCACACTCGTAAAGGCAGCTGCAGAGGCAGCCAAATCTGATGCCAAGAAGAAAGAGAAGCGTGCGAAATAAGGGGCTCCCTTCTGGAATCTGATCTACTTTGATGTGTCATGTATTCTTTTGTATATGTGAATAATCTGCATATTCTCTCTTTTCTTTCATCACTGAATGAAATGGTTCTAGGAGGTTTCATGGTTTATGCCCCTGTTTGAGTGGTGGCAATTGTGAATAGTTTTTGTTTTAATGTGAGAGGATTGTGATGAACTGAATTTTCTCTGGTTGGTAAGGAGTAAAAAATTGTTATTCATGTTTCTGGAATTGAATGAATGATCATAGTAATATTTGATTATTTTCGAGTGGAAATAGCTAAATATGCCCATTCTTTTGGGCGCCTTTTTTTGGGTTTTATGATAGTGTGATCCATTTGTTTTTATGATATGAGTAGTCCATTAAATTTGATTTGTATAAGGTCGCAATCCTATTTGTAGAAATAAAGTTGTCATGCTATGCAGTATTCATTTTATTTAGATGATGTAGATTGGACATGTTTTTTAAGACTGTTAATACATGATACATCTTTTAAGAGAATGTTCAATCTAATCGGTCTACTGCAATCTTATTTTTACAATCTTATTTTTACAAATAAAGGTTGCAACCTTATTCAAACCTGTCCAAGGCCTCAAATCCAACTTACATCTTTCATTCTTAGGCCTTCTCACTAACATACTTCCCTATTCTCTCTTCGCCCTCTCCCTCATAGTCTCTTCTATCTAAAATCGTCCCCCGCTGCCATTGAAATCGAAACACGTAGAGTTGTTGAGCTTGTGCTGAGGATGCAGTAAGGAATCTCTCTCTCTTTCTCCATCGCTTTTGCTAAGGATGCAGTGAGGAACCTCTCTCTCTCTCTTTCCAATATGATGTTACAAAAAATTTCCATATCTTCACTGGTTTTTCCACTCCTTTGATATGTGGAATGGGATCGCTCTCTCTTTTTTTCTCTCTAAGAGCTAGCACGCATTCGGCTTTCATTATTTTTAGTCTTAGTAAGTGTTTGACTAATGTTTTTCTTTTTTTTTTTCTCTTTTTTTTTTTAATACGTGGGAATGAAGGTTGGGCATTGTGTTGAGACATCCGCCCCCCTAATCACAGATGCTCCAGCTCCATTGCCAGTGTTCGATTACTTTTTAGGTGGATTTTATTGGGTCACATATTGAAATGGGGTTACGCAAGGCTAGGATGGATGGGTTTCATAGTTGATGCTGCGAATACACGTGGAGTTGATGCCTTCGATGATTTGAGATGAAGAGGGGGCATTCTTTAATGAAGCATTATTGTTTTTATTGTTATTTTTAACGGTAATGTACGATTTATATCATTAATTCAAATATAAAGTACAAGATGTTACACAAGATTACATAAATGAAGTAACCAACAGAGAAAGAGTATGGACTCATCTTTTGACAAGAACATCGACATAGGCCATTATTGCTTGTTGATCACATGGAATTTGATCGAGAGATCAATCATGAATTCTTTTTTGTGAACAATTTTATAGTGTTCTTAAAAACCACATTATAGTCTTTTTGAGTGTGTGCTCTTTTTTTCTTGCATTTCCCACGTTGACTCCACTCGGCAAACCCATGCCTTGAATTTCAGCACCACGAGATGGTCTTGTATGGAATCTCGGTTTCTTACCAGGCTTCTTAGCTTTATCATGCGAATTTGGGCTGCCATTGTTGATTTTGATTATCAAGCTATGACGGTTTTGCAAGACTAATTGTGACATGAATTAGAGTTTTCTTCACTTATCATTGGAAAATTTTATATGAAGTTATATTAAAAAATAATGTTTAGAAGTTTTAAAACTTTATAAATTGACCATCTCAACCCCAAGATGTATGGATATGAAACAAAAAAAAATTTCAAGTTCTTAAAATGATATATCTTATAATAAGTTATCCAAACCGTTTATTTTTAAGATTTTAAAGTACATGTAGATTTGCTTGATCTCTACCATTTTTAAAATTTTAAGTTTTACAATTAGAGTTGAACATAAATTTTTAAGCTATCATAAAATTTCCAACACCTAAACTACATCTTCCAGCAACCTTTAGATGTGTATCTTCCACATGTTGTATAACGTGGGCACCTTATACAGACTTTTAATCATTTGAATCTTTTCAAAGGGTAGACTGATATTGATATTTACCATTTGAGTTAGTTATCTTCGCATATAGGATGTCCCTGAAAAGCTTGGTAGGAATGAGATCAATATCAGCATATTTGCAGTCGCTTTTACGGCTCCGAAAATGCAAGTGTAAAAATGGGTGTGGGATTGTGTGTGTCCATGACGTGATGGCACATGGTGCCACTCGTGTGACATGATGCTATATGGTTTAACATCATAGACGAAGAAATTTTTAAAACTAAAACGAGAGAGAGAGAGTTTTTATTGTCTATTTCCTATTGAATAGAAGAATATTTCTCTGGGGCCAAAGAAAGCAGAAGGGAGAAAGTTCATACAACGTATCTAAAACATATCTTGGCATGAGCTATTTACACGTGGGAGACTTTTATGAATAAAAAGAAGCCACTCTCGTACCAAAAAGATGTCAAAGATATTACAGTGCTCTGACGGCAGAGTGAGACCGAGAATAAGAAGCAGAAGAATTACAAGCATCATAGTCTGGCCCAAAGAATAAGAAAGAGAATAATTACAATGATCATACTGTGATGGCACAGTGTATCTTGCAGTGAAGACACTGTTGGGGTGGATAGATTCCATTACTTGTAAAAGCCAATGGCATTACATAATCTTCTGCTCAGAATCATGATCCACAACCGGAAACAAGCACCAAAGAAATTTGCACAGATTCTTGAAAAACTGTTGGAACAAGTAAGGAAAAAAATAATGATAATATTCTTCAATAAAAAACAATAGACCAATTCATTGAAGTGTCTGTCTTCGGTTTGGTGACTTCAACAAAGATAAGAGAGCTCTAAATATCACTAAGATGAAGAATGATCGCCCATCAGATACATTATAAGAATGCTGGCTAATCACTCTAGGCATTGAAATAAACTCTCAGACTCAAATCACAAGAACATCAAGATCATCGAAGAAATCTGATATTTCCTTTGCATGCAAATGTATTACATGGTCAAAAAAAAAAAAATGATACTCACAATGGGACCATTTATCTTTTACACATGGAGGTCACAATCATTCCCACTCATTGAATGTCAAATTGGATGGCTTGGGGTGAGTCATGAAGTCCGAGAATTTTTTCTTTGAAAATTTGTGTCTATTCAATGACACTCTTACAACCAACCATTTTGAAATTTAAGGGACGAGAATAATTGGGACCTCCACGTACAAAAGATAAATAGTTTCTTTGTAGACAATCCCTAAAAACATTGCAACTTTAATAGAAACAATTTCAGTTCATGTTCCATTCAACAATCTCTAAGCAGATATTCAATCTTCTACCCTAATCTTATACAATTGAGGAAAAAATCCCCATAAATAAACATCCGTGCATAAAAACAAAAAAGAAGCACACAGAAAAGCACAAAAGCAGCCCTATATCAGTAGATAATGAAAACTATATCATTTGGATACACGAGTCTTCCACAGTAGGAGGAAAAATATCTCCATAGATAACACCAATATATATGAACAAGAAACACAATAAACATTGAATTGATAGATAATGGAACAATACATTACATCAGCTGAATACCCCAATATTCTACAAATGAATAAAAAAACCCCCAAGGATAAACACCCATGTATAAGGACAAAAAATCTCCATAGTGAACAGCCATGATAAACATGGATCTAATGCTAGTGTGAAGCTCGAAATAGCAAGGCTTCGTTCTACGAACAGGGCTATTAAGATAGACACCTAGTTGAGCATAGCAAGAACTAAGCAACGGAGGGAGGGAGAGACAGAGAGAGAGAGAGAGAGAGAGAGAGAGAGAGAGCTTATTGTTTCCTCAACAAAAGTGACAATTGCCACCAAACCTAATTGCATTTGATGGGTTTCAAAGAGAACAAGAGAAGGCTTTGACAGAGAAAGAGTCTGTGAGAGAATGGGGGGGAAAAGAGAGAATGGGGAGCATTTTAGAGAGGGAGAGAACGTCTGAGAATGAAGAGAGATTGGTTGATTAGGGCTTTGGACATGGCTGGAAATTGAAAATTTATAGGGTCATAATGTGGGAGAAATCAATGTCAAAATGGGAAGAGGCATACGGAAGGGGATCCATGAAAACTAATCTCAAAACAACATACCGCTTGATAGGTAAGTAAAGGGAAGGTTTCATATGGAATCTCTTACTTTTGTGGGGCTATTGGTGATATTTTTCCTAATTTTTACGAAGCAATCATTTTTGTGTGGAAAAGCCATGGAAGACGAGATAGGGTACTTGAGAAAATAAGAGTTAGAATATGGTTCGTTGATCTAAAAGAAAAGGTCAAAGGATGCAAATGGGTGTATAAGGTTAAACTGCACCAAATGGAACAAAGCAATGGGCAAAACTCGGCTTGGACTCAGAACATGATCCCTATTGGAGCTGAGTTACTCGGGCAAGTCCAAGTCCATTTGGACTTGCTGGAGTTAGGCCTGAGCTCAAAAATTCCTTCAAGAAAGAAAAAGTTTATAAAAAAACTCCCAGAAAAAAAGGGAATGGGGGGAGGGGAATGCATAAAGAGACGAATGCAGAGAGAGGAAGAGGATAAGAGATAAGGAATACATTGATGGGAAGTCTAGAGACAGACTAAAAAGAGATTATAAAGATAAATCCTCGAGACAGGTTAAAGAGGAGGAGGGCAGAGAGAGAAATTCAAGAAATGCACACTTGACAGAAATGGGGATTGGGGCTTTTTAGGGACAGACTAGAGAGATGGAGTCTAGAGAGACAGATTACTTAGATGGATAATGCATGGAGAGATTACAGAAACAACAAGGCTAAAGAGATAGGGAGAGTACCATTTTTTGCACAGATAGAGAGAATACAAAGATGGAAAGTCTAGAAAAAAAGGAGATGAGACAGATCGAGAGGCTAGAGAGATTATAAAGATAGGGAGCCTGGAGAGAGAGACAGAGAAAAGGAGAGGCTCGAGAGAGAAATTCAAGAAATGCAGTAGAGAGTTTTGGAGAGAGAGTCTAGAGTCAGAGAAAAATAGAGATAGCAGTAATGGATAACGTATGGAGAGATTAGAGAAAAAAAAATGACAGATAGAAAAAAAGTACCATTTTTGTGAGTTCAAACCAAGAGAGGATTTGAATTTGGACAGCAACCTCTGGTCAAATCAATTGATGATAGGGGGAAGAGAAGAATAAGACA